TTTTCACTTTTTACTCATTCTCTCTCTGATCCCCTTGTTCCATAAATAAGAGTTTTTTTTAAATATATTTTTTACATATTTATTGTTTCTAATTAATTTTAATCAACTTGATTTGTTTAATTGTCTCTTATAGAAAAATGAAAGTAGTATTATGTGTTTATGATATTGAATTAAAATGAATTATTTCAACCTAAGACTTAGGTTGTAAAGATAGTGTTAGGCATGGTTGAAGGTTTAGAGTTGAAATTGTTTTTATGGGAGTTGAAACTTTTTTATACAAGTAAAAAAAAGTTAATTAAATATAATTTTTGCTGGCCTTTAATCCAATATAAATTGAAAATCGAACGTAATTGATTCCAACATCGTAAAAATTGATTTGGACCTTATTATTGTCAATACAAACATTTTTCTAAACAAAAAAATATTTGTTAAATTTCAAAATGAGAAATAGATGATTTTGACAGATTTTAACATATTAAAATTATTATAAGAGTCGTTAAAATTATTATTTTTTAAAAAAAATTCAAGAAGTATTCTTGTCATTTTTTGCTTTTCCTTTTACCAAACATGTTCTTTGCCATAATAAGAAAACATTTTATTAGCTTGTGCCGCATAGAATTTTAAGAATAAGTTATATTATTCATGATTTGTGAATTCTTTTTTACTTTTTTTGACAGAGATTTGCGAGTTCATTGTGCTTGTGTGATGACAATTTGATAATTAGAAAGGGAAGCTGCTGCTGCTGTTATTACATAAAACCTAAGAAAGTTATTTTTTCTGATATTTTATAAAATTTTCAAAATGTATAAATCTTTTAATATTACCTCTTATCTTTAATATAAAAGATCATTTGATTTTTATTTTGATTTTAATCTTTTATATTTATCTATTTTTAAGATAATCTTTGTAATAATATTAGTTCTAATCAATACATTTGATTAGTAAGAATATTTTAAAAAATATAACACATATTTATTACAAATAACTAATTTAATTATTTTTTTTAACCTATTTAAATTAGTTAACTAGATTTTACATCTTATGTTAAAAATGTGAAAAAAGAAGTTGAAGACGAAGCGGAGAGAAGCGACTTCCAAGAAAAAAGAAATTGTGAGGAGCTAAGACAACAACCATAATGGCTGCAGTTGTGAAATGTCTAAGTTTATATAGTAGCGCTCCACTGCCAAAGGGTTTTCTTCGCTTGAGATTTTGAAACCGGACGGAGTCCATGTCTCGTTTTCTCAGCATAACGATCGCCTGTCGGAGGCACATTATCAACGCAAATTCTCCTTCAGCATTTCAACATCTGCTTTGTGCCCAAATCCAATGGCTTTCTGTGAGGTACGCAAATTCAGCCGCCTCGAATGGCCATTCTTTCACAGTCTCATATCTGATTGACACATGCGGCTTCTCACCTAAAGAAGCTGAAGCAGTTTCTAAGCGTTTCAGCTTGGAATCGCGGGATAAGCCAGATTTAGTTATCAATTTCCTGAAAAGACAAGGATTTTCTCAACCCCAGATTCTTCGTTTCATTGGACATCACCCAAGGTTTCTTCGATATGATCCTGAGAAAACCTTTTTGCCCAAGATTGAGTTTCTCAAATCCCAAGGTGCTTCAAGCTCATTCATCCCTAGGCTCTTGTGTAGTTGTCCTAGGATCATGGGGAGCAGCTTAAGTAATCGGCTCATTCCTTCCTTTTATTTCTTCCGGGATTTGTTTCAGTCTGATGAGAAGCTCATTAAAGCTCTTGCACATTGCTCGGGCATTCTTGTTTACATTAATACTCATGTCTTGCCTAATATGAAGCTGTTGCGAGAAGAAGGAATTCCTGAATCAAATGTCATTACATTGCTGCAATCTTTCCCTAGGACACTAACTATATATCCTGATCGGTTTAAGTACGCTGTGGAAGAAGTAAAGGAAATTGGTTTTGATCCTTTGAAGCTTCGATTTCTTTGGGCTATTAGGGTATGCTCATCCTTTAGCAAATCCACACGGGCAAAAAAGGCTGATGTTTATAAGAAGTGGGGTTGGTCTGACAATGACATTCTGGTGGCATTTAGAAAGTACCCCTTTTGTATGACAGTCTCAGAGGATAAGATTGATGCAGTAATGGAGTTTCTTGTCCACAAGTTGGGCCTTGAGTCTTCCGCCATCAACAGATGTCCTTTAATTTTTACATTGAGTTTGCAAAGGCGAATTCTCCCAAGAGGTGCTGTCATTCAAGTTCTGTTGTCAAAGGGTCTGATAAAAAGGAAAACTTCTTTATCAATTTTCAAGTATACTGAGAGATATTTTTTGAGGAAGTTTCTCCTTTGTCACGGGCAGAAGGTTAGTGGATTATTAGAGTTGTATCAGTCTAAACTGGATCTTGCAAGGTGAATGAAAAATTGAAAGGTTTTAACTTATGGATATAGACTAATGCGTAGCAGTTGTAGAACTGTTCTCTCTACATTTCTTTTGATGCGGCGCATTATTAACTTGTATGTGGTTTGCTTTAATTCTGGTTGAAAATGACTTGCCAAGTAACTAATGAGCTTCCCATTACACTGGAATCTGTTCATTTGAATTAAGTCCTAAGTTTTAAGGTGTCTGTAATACCATGCAGCGTTAACATTGTTTGTTTAACTTTTTCTTTCTTTAGAGAAGGCATTTTTTAGTAAGAATCATGTATAGAAGACGATGTTTTAGCTTTTGTTTGATTATTGAACGCTTCACCACCAGGCTTGAAACAGATCAGCGGTTTTGATCTTAGGTTCATAGTATTGTTGATTGTTTCTTTAACTCCTTGTAAGTACAATATGCTTAAATCCATATGCTGTGTTTCAAATTCATTTATTTTTTCCTTCCGAGGCAGAGTAAACTATCTTATGACATCTATGTATTTTTCAATGTGAATAACTCCTTACACAGGTATGTAATATTAATTAATATATAGATGATTTTTCTATAGCCTTTTTGTTCTTATTAAAAATTTGAATTTCTTCTATACCAACTTCCCAATTTTTCCCAGCAATGCTTCCATTAAAGTGATTGTGTCTAAACTTAAAATTTAAATTTCAGAACTTCGTAGACTTTTTGTTTTCTATTTGAAGCTAATTTGCTTCATTTATTTGACTGGCTTCTCCAAACACGTCATGCTTTGCTGCATCCAAGTTTGTAATCGTGCAAGTTTCTTGGGAAATCTAAAAACCATGATGGGGTTCACAACATTTCGATGGTTCACCTATAATATTTTCCATCTAGCTTCTTAAAGCAACTAGTAGGCCTGGATATGCGTTGGAACATAGGCCTGGGTACGTGTTGGAACAGAGGCATTCTGAATGTGATTATTTATACTTAATGTTCAAGTTCTGGAGTCCCTGCCCAGGGATAATATTGAGGATCATCCTTATGCTGATCTTATAGAGGAAGCTTGGGATCGTTGCTGTCCAAAGTGTACTGTTTCTTGTGAGTGCACGTCTAAAGAAAATCTTTCAGAGGCTGGTAGATTAGCTTAGATTTATTAAGAGAGATTAAAATGTCATTAGTTAATTAAGATAGACTCTTATAAAGGGACTAATCTACTTTGATTAATGACATTTCATTATCTCCTTTGAAGCGTTTGTGCTGAGCTATTGGCGGTGAGATATTGTTAATAATCCACCTTAGATGAGCTTTCTGATTTTTGAGTTCTTTGCATGTTGTCTGTTTAATTAATGGAAGTTTCTATTTCCATTCAAAAAGCAACTAGTAGTAGTACCTGGTGTTGAGCTGCAGGACCTAATTATTCCTTTCGATCTTAAATATAAGATCTAGTTTGTAGTGATAAGAGGTAGTATTTTACTTTTGGGATCAACCTTGTCTACTTATGGCTGGAGGATTAACATCATATTCATATGTCATATTGTTTTTATGTGCAAATGTAATTTCACTGCTATGGCTCTCTCATTTTACTCCAAGCTGTAATTTTTTTTTCCCCGAATAAAAATGGTATCACAAACTAAACCGACAGAAATTACAACCCGAGTCAATTGGCTTTTTTCATCAAACTCCTGAATAAAAAGTGGTAGATGATCAAAGAGACGTCAACTGTGCTCCACCAAGCAACATGCAAACAAAAAACTTCTTCAATTAATCTCTTTATTCACACATGTAAAAAAAAAAAAAAAGAAGTAAAATCCACTATTTTTTTTTAATGCGTATTCAATTTTAACAATAGACATTTGTACATTTGGTCAATGCAACCTTTTTTTTTTTATAAAGGAGCAATGAAACCTTTTTAAATAAAGTAAAAATACCAAAGTAATACCTCCGATTCTTAATATGAGATCTTGTTTGATTTTTATTTTGGTCTTAAATATAAAATCTCAATCTATTTTGTCTCTCATATTTATATATATTTAAAGTAATCCTTCTAACAATAGTAGTTCTAGTCAATACACTTGATTAATCAGGATATTTTAGGAAAGATAACACCTATTTAAGATAAATAAATAACTCAATTTACTTATTTAATTTTTTTAAATTAGTTAACTAGCTCTTATAATTATAATTAGGACCAAAAGTAGTAAAATGTAAAATTTATATTTTAAAAATGAAAAGGTAATCATTTTTTTTTTTTTGCCTGAAAAAAAGGTAATGGTTTGGCTATGTAATTTTGATTTAATTACAACTCAATCGATCCTAGAATTTTAACCCAAAGCAACTTAACTTTTATAGTTTTGACTCAATTAAAATTCATACCAACTTTGACTGAATTAACTTAATCCTTACAGTGTTAATTATTTCACATTTTAAAAAAATATATTAAGGATTAACGTTATTTTCTTAAAAAACTTAAGAACTAATGTTTTAAAGGTTTAAATTATAGGTAAGTTACACAGAGTTAAAGTTAATTGAGTTTCAATTAAGTCAAAAATCATAGGATGTGAGTTAAAATTTAGATATTAAGCTATAATTAAACAAAACTGCTGGGACAAAAAATTTTTTTTCTTGTTTACGCCAATAGAAGTTTGGAGTGATCAGAGAATGAGAGTAGCGTGGTTTCCTATGGCTTCCGGTGTATTCCTCAACGGACTCCGGCTGCGTTTATCTTGCTCGGGATGCCGGAAGCCGCCGGAATCCATGCTTCCTTTTCTCCGCGGAGCCATACCTTATGGGAGACATATTATCAACGCAATATCTCCTTCAACATTACAGCATCAACTTTGTCTTCAAACCCAGTGGTTTTCTATGAGGTACGCTAACTCAAACGCCTCAAACGGGAATTCTTTCACTGTCTCTTATCTCATTGACACCTGTGGCTTCTCACCCCAAGAAGCTGAAGCAGCTTCTAAGCGCGTCAGCTTCGAAACGAGAGAGAAGCCAGATTTGGTTATCAAGTTCCTGAAGAGTCATGGATTCTCACGGCTCCAGATTCTTCATTTCATTAAATCGGTTCCAGAATTCCTTCGATTTGATCCTGAGAAGACCTTTATGCCCAAGATTGAATTTTTCAAATCCAGAGGCGTTTCGAGCTCGCACATCCCTAGGCTTGTGTGTAATTGTCCTAATATCATGAGAAGAAGCTTAAGTAACCACCTCATTCCTTCCTTCGATTTCCTTCGAGATTTGCTTGGATCTGATGAGAAGCTCGTTAAAGCTCTTCAATATTGCTCGGCCATTCTTGTTGATTCTAAAGCCTCTGTGTTGCATAAAATAGAGCTACTGCGAGAAGCAAGAGTTCCTCAATCAAATATCATCAAATTTTTGCAGTTTTACAGTAGATCATTGGCTTATAGTACTGGTCGATTTAAGAAGATTGTGGAGGAAGTGAAAGAACTTGGTTTTGATCCTTGGACGTTTCAATTTCTTATGGCTGTTCATGTATCCTTATCCTCAAAAGAATCCGCACGGGCTAAAAAGGTTTATGTTTATAAGAAGTGGGGTTGGTCTGACAATGACATTCTTGCAGCATTTAGAAGGCTCCCCATCTGTATGACTCTGTCAGAAGATCAGATTGATGCAAAATTAGAGTTTCTTGTCCATAAATTGGGCTGTAATCCTTCCATGATTTGCACATATCCTAATGTTTTGGGATATAGTTTGAAAAAACGAATTGTTCCAAGAGGTGCTGTCCTTCAAGTTCTGTTGTCAAAGGGGCTGTTGAAAAGCGAAACTTTGCTCGCAAAATTTGCGCTTACTGAAAAGGACTTTTTAAGGAGGGTTGTCCTTTGTCATGTGCAAGAAGAAGCTAGTGAGTTAATGGAGTTGTATCTCACAAAACTGGATCAAGCAAGGTGAATGAAGAATGGAAAGGTTTTAAGGTATGGTTATGGACTAGTATGTCTTAATTGTAGTAGTTTTCTCACTACAGTTCTTTTGGTGCGTTAGCACTTTGTTTGCTTTAATTCAGCTTGGACATATCTCCACGTCAAGTCAATGAAGAGCTTCCTGTACACTGAAATCTCTACACCATTCGAACATGATCTTATGTTTTAAAGATTATCTATAGTAAGATCCCATTTAAACATTGTTTTAGTTTCTTAAAGTAAGTCGCTAAAATGTGCTAAGAATGAGGGGTGGCCATTAGCTGGGGGCGAAAAACAAAAAACTGCCCATCTTAATCTCACTGGCCTCTGGTTGTTGTGGACTGTATGCATGTGAAGTAAGAAAAGTGTTGGAGATCATGAACCATCATCTCATAGGTTCTGACATCATCTATCTTTTCCTTTATTTGTTGTTTGTTATATTTAGGCTCAATTTAATGTTTGAGTAAGCTTTTTTCCTTTTTTAAATTAGAGGGGTTAGCATTAACAGCCTGGGATTGAACTCATAACCTCTCATTTACAAAATAGCCTTCATGCCTCTAGGCTAGGAGGCCATTAGCAATGTTTGAGTAAGCTAATATAATGGGATTGGTTGGGACAGTAGTTCCTTGCTATTGTAAAATTTAGCAACAAGAGTTCCCTTCCCTTCCCTCTATATTTCCTCAACGTTACAGATACTGGCATTAAGCCTCATGAAACCTTTAGCCAGCATTCTGTTAATCTTGTTAACCTGCATAAATTAGCTGCGGGTTTAAACTTATTGTCGATGACTTGGTTTGTTAACAGCAGGTTTGATCTGTATTTTAGATTCTGCTCAGTTAGCGATTAAATTGATAGCGCATACACTAGGAAGAAATAGGAAGCCAGTGGGAGAAAAAAAGTTAAGTAAACTTTCGGTTTGGATTCTCTCTGAGTGAAATGATCCTGTGCACTTAGAGAAGTCAAGATCTAAAGAAAAGTTTCCCGTTGATTTTTTTTTTTGCTTTTTCTTTTGCCCTCCTTCCTTTTCACCTCTCTTCTTCATAGAAACAGAGTCTACATTTTCATAGGCTGTGATGTCAAGTTCATAGGATTCACCATCTGTTATGTTGCTGAGCTTGGGGACACGTAATAGCTACCCATACTAGGTTGCTCTTGTTAACTAGAATCACTGAAGCTAATTTCTTGCTGCTTTCTAGTGCAATTAAATGCAACCAAGTTGATTCAGTACACTTGCAAATTTTGCGTATTGATGATGCCAAGATGGTCCTCCATGATGAAGACTAGAGTTAAAAAAAAAAACAATGTTGCCACCTCCTGATTTCATAATTATTTGCTGCTGCTGTTGTTTTCTTTTCTCACACCTGTTAACTTCTGTAAGAAACAAGTCATTACGGTGACGACTATTTTTGGAATTTTTGTTACTATATTAGAGTTCAGAGAATTTATTTATTTTTGAACTCAATGTACAAGGATTAACATTCTCGATCAATCGTGAATATTCACTTTTTGATTTGTTCATATGTTCATTATCAACTTGGTTTTCGTAGACCATGTCCCTCTATCTATGCATTTCTTATTAAATACCTTTGGCAATTAATATGATGATGACAGATTTAACACCGATAAAAAGTCACGTTGACTCCCCTCCCCCTTTTTTTTTTCCGGAACTGCGGCCCGACACTCAAATTTGGTTTAATTAATACTACTTTCGGTTCTTAATATAAGATATTATTTGATTTTTATTTTGATCCTAAATATAAGATCTCAATTCATTTTGTCTCTTATATTTATTTATTTTTTCTCAAAATAGTCTTTCTAATCATGATAGTTCTAGCCAATAAATTTGATTAGTAAAGATATTTTAGGAAAAAACAATACCTATTTGTTACAAATAACTAACTTAACTTGTTTTTTTAATCTACTCAAATTAGTCAACTTACTCTTATATTTAAAACTGAAAGTAACAATACTTAATAGTTCGTGGTCGAGTCCTTTTTTCTTTTCAAGTAACGACATTGAGATTTTGCAGTAGGGATGCAAGACAAATGGTTGATTAGATCGAGGGCTCATATCATTGCACATCCTTATAATTTGATGGCATTTTGATTTTAGTATATGTGGTTTCAAATCGTATTTCTTATTCTTTAATTTGTCCATCTAAAGTGTTCGTTCTCTATGGTTTTCATACGGACCTTGTGAAACTATGAAGAGGGGCAAACATTAACTCTATGTTTGGATGTTAAGAAAATTAGGTAGAAAACAACACTACAAGTGAAAACTCCTCAAAATAGCAAACTTTTTAAATTATTTTTGGAATTTTTTTGGGAAAAATCTCAAAGAAGATTTATTAAATTTTAAAATTTTAAATCAGTCTTGTTTAGCACGCTTTACTAGCAATTGAGAATATACTTTTGTAGTAATTTCTAATTTGAAATTTTTTTAAGGATTTTTCTTCTTTTTTTTCCCAGTATTTCCTCTCTTATTTCCTCTCACTTTTGCTTTCATCCTAACGTAATATGAAGGATGAGAAACACAATTTGAAATTATAAGGATCAAAATCAATATATAATCAAAGCATAAAGACGCGTGGTATTTACCTGTCATCATTAAGACATCTTATGAAAAAAGACCCACCCCACCTACACGCTCATTATAATTATAAATACCTTCAAATTCAATTTAGCATGGGCACTTAATCTTTAGCAAGGGGGGGCCACATAATAATCTCAAATGGGCAAACATGTGGTTTAGTTTAGATGAGCAATTGTAAATATCAAGAAATTGCGATCTTGAACAAATAGATTTTGTTACTAAACAAAGCTTCCTAACAGAGCAAATAGAAAAGTCCAAGGAAGGAGGGTAGAGGACCTACAGACAATGGATGTTTAGGGCCACACTGACAAGATTTGCCTCCCCTAACAAATGGTCCAACCGTGATTTTTGCCCAGAAAGAAAAAAGTTTACATAAAGATAGCAAAATACTAATTATAATTTGTTGTGGCCATTTTTAAGGCCATATTTGAAATTACGTTTTGAAATCATTTATAAGTACATTTCACATAAACTGAGATAAAACTTCTCTCACATACTTATCTCATATTTCATAAGTCACGGTTAAAAACCTGCTTATAAGTCATTCTAAAAGAGTTCTAAGTCTTCAATCTTACTTTTTAGACCTTGTTTAAACTGCATAATTATCGCTTTTGTTGAAGCGCTTAATTCCAATACAATTTGACGCAAGGCCACTTTCTGTGATGTGTTTAACATCCAATTATTGTTTGACGCGATCTTTTTTTTTTTTTTTGGTTAAATTACACAAGCTTTCCTAAACTTTGAACTATGTATAAATAATCAACTCACCTAAACTTTCAACTTTACATGAATAAACCCTAATCAATTGTGTAACCCTTCAAATTGTGTTTTTGTGTTCATATAACCGCTTTGAGATTTGATTTTATATATGGGTGTCTATATATATATATATATATATATATATATATATATATATAGAAGCCCCTTAAACTAAATATATAAGTACTGAACAAAATTACCGGTAAGAAAGTCATGTGCATAAATGTAAGAATTTAGAGAGATTCATTGTAAAGTTTCAAAATTTAAGGAGATTATCTGCACATAACATAAAATAGGAGTTATGTATAATTTCACCCTCGCCAAAAAAAAAAAAATTCAAGTGAACTTTTTTTTTTTTTTTCCAAGTGATATTTTGAAGTGAACTTGTTCCAACACATACCGCTGTTATTGACCCAAGATTAATTGTAGTAATGCATATTGCATTACAAGGGGGCAGGAAGTTGAGTGTCTCAAGTATAGAGAAACAGAGAGAATACCTGTGAAAACAGAGGAATAAGATTAAGATGCCAAATTTATGGGCACTAATTCGCAGCTCTTGATGCTTTTACCAGCATGCGATTATGGCCAAAAGTAATTGATTTTATAGGATCTTTTCTTCAAAATTTTGCAAATGAAACGATATCTCAATTACAATTATACCACAAGAGATTGAAGAGAAGAGATATGCTTAAGGAGATAGGACTTTCCACATTAGCAGAGGAGCATGGTTCCTAGTTCCACTTATCCAGCTGGGATTTACTGTCATCATTGAAATTGAAAATATATATCATCCCCTCATTTCATGAACAAGATTATAAGCTTGAGCCAAGTAGAGGGGGAAATTCCCAGAAATGAAGTAACATCATAAAAATGAAAGTAATCAAATAATAAAAATCACTCATCATCATGGACAATGGGTCATTGCCTAAGGGGAAAAGGAACTTCAACAATTAAAAACATTTATGCACTCACTTAAGAAATCCCTTACATAAACTTCAACTCATCACTGATTATCATGAAAACAAGCCTGCTTGTACTTCACATAACAACCTCTGAACTGAAGGGCCAAAACAAAACCCAGAGATCTCAATGACAACTGTGTATTTTCCTTTACCTTATACTGCCACTTGAACTGATCATGCATATGACACTATCAAGGGTTCTCTGGACTCTTCTCTAGATGCATCCTTGTAATAGAAGTACAACGCTAATTGTACTATTCCCAATATGGTTCCTATTCCATTGGGTACCTACAAAAATGAACCACAGATATTTTAGTTCATTTCAAGCTAGACTGTATATCTAGGAAGAAAATTAAATGCAGTAGAGTTGGAAGAAAGCTTACATAAACAAACACATCAAAATTGAGCAACCCGTAAAGAAAGAAGGAAGCACTCATTAAGAAGGTCGATAGGGAAAGAAAGAATGGCATAAACTCAACACTCTTTGTCCGGATCACCAGTTTCTGGGAAAGACATGGAGATTGATAAATCAATAAAATTAACCAAAGCAAACTGATGCAGGATGTTCAGAATTCAAATGATAGATTTCCAGGACGAAACAAACTTACAATTATAAACAGAGGAGAGGCAAACATTGAAATAAGAGAAGCAACACTCAAGGATCCCACAAACACCCGACGTGTTACACGGTCAGCTATTTGCAAGCTTCCAAATACTATGATTGCAAATAACCCCAAAACAGCCAGCAGTAATCCAACCGTTCTCACCTATCAAATTGAAGCAAAGAGTATACAAAAGCTTAGAGATGACACAGAGGCTATCAGGCACTTATCACAACTAACAAGTTCATCAGTCATGAGAAAATGCTTCCAATTATATATATATATATATATCAGAACTCTAACCTTCCTGTTTTTCTCTTCATACGTCACAAAGAGGATTATGTACACAAACTGAAAGACTGCTCCACCTGAGTTAACAGTCAGGACCATTAGATTATCAGGAGATATGAAAGGCGTGCCATACCACATGCAGATCAAGCAATTCAGGAGAGCATAAATATAGGGCGAGCCTGAGAACATTTCTGTTGACCCATTTCTGACAATTCTTCTGAAAGTGGGTCTGAAATTTAGCACAAGTGAGGCGTCAATGAAGGGGAAAAGAATAATTTCGTCGGAGCTCAACATAGTTTATCAAACAGTTCATAAGCAAACTTACATGGGCGACACAAATAACCCAAAGGCAAAGATGTTCCCTGAAAATAAGCATTGCAATAATTGAAATCAAGGAAGAAAACTCTAGAAAACTTCGAAGATTGGTTTTAAAAATTTAACTGGCTGACCAGCAAAATCCCAGAATCTGTTAGAGAAAAAGAAAGTACCGGCAATTCCAGCTGCATCCTTGCAAACTGTAAGGATTGAAGAAGAAGCAGAAACAGACATTAATCTAAGAATCACCAAATTCCACCAGAAATCAAACCCAACCCTCCATGTATAACATCAAAATAAGATGACAGGTGACGCCGCCACCTGCAATAATACGATTCGTTTCACAAAGATCTTCCCTCTTATATCTTTCAAGTCACGAACTAACGAAAATATCCACGTTTTCCAAATGCTTAAATGCTAAATCGGTGCCCCTGCGAGATTTCCGAGCTAGAGGGCCTGATAATTATTAGCTTCCCCCCGTAACTTGCTGTGCTAGGAAAATGACAAAGACCCAATAGAAAAAACAACAAAAATGGCACGGCTTGCTATTGGCTTGCTTGCGTTCGAGCCACGAAAATTCAAACGATTTTGGGTTATTTTATTTATGTGAAGAAGTTCGATTGCACTGACAAGTTGCGAAAAGAGGCGTGCGAATGTGTGACAAACAAAGGGTGGCGCCTACTTGGATGATTTTCCAGCTGAGTTGTAGGGACTGCGACGACTCTGGAATTTAGATTAGATACAGGCCAGCTCCGACAAGGATAGAGATGATGCTGATCCTTAGTGTTAGCTATTAATTGTTATCGTCTTATGTACCATACGAATATTCTAATTCAGCAATTCTAGCTGCCTTTTGCTTCTTTTGTAAAAATTTTGACTCGATGAGGATCTGTATTTCACTAGTATTTCTAAAGCAGATGTTTAGTTTTTGTTTATAAGAGATATTAATAACTTATTTAATTTTTGAATATTATTATTTAATTTGATGTTTAATATTGTATTTGTATTTTAATACCCTTTAATTATGGATCATTTTCAATGTTTTAATTTATTTTTTTTAGAATTCAAAATATTCTCAAATCATTTTAGATTTGAAACTAATTTCTATCGAACTAAGAGTATTAAGATTAAAACTCTCTCAATAAATACATTTATCATCTCAACCAACAATAAATTGATAATGTTTTAATTATTGGTTTGCTTGTTCTCTTTCATTCACTCCCTCTTTTCATAGATAAAGATATTTTTAAGACTAAGTTACATTTTTTTATATATTTATTGTTTTTGATGAGTTTCAACTAATTTTTTATCCATATAATTTAATTATTTGTATTCTATAAAAACGATTGAATGGGGTGACAGATAAATAAATGATAGCTAATGGAATTTTTTTTTATTAGAAGATATGTTATTTTGAATAAAATTTTAGATAAAAAATTAAAAGTCAAATTCATATAGTTAGAAAGTAAGAATAAGAGATAAATAATAGCAGTAACAGTAGTAGAATTAAAAAGACGAGAGATTCAAAATAAGTCATAAGACGTGTCAATAATGAGTTATAGAAAAACAAATAGCGTTGTTGGCAAAAAAAAAAAAAAAAAAAGGAGCAAATAGCATTATCTGTACTAGTAAGATGTAAAGTAGGTATTCTTCCGGTCCTAAATATAAGACCCCTTTTATAGTATAATTTATATTATAAAAAGGATCTTATATTTAGGAACGAAGAAGTATTATATATTTGCACCATATACACACACCCATAAAGTTATCTTATTTACCATCATTAAATCATGGAATTTCTTGCCATATAAATATGCTGATAGAAATTTGTAGTATCTATAGGGACATCCGATCTGATAAAGACCAAACATATATTTGTAAGATACTAGAAATTGTCCTGACATTGCAATGTAAGAAACTTAGACATTGGACCGTTTAGAATAAATTATTAAATTACTAGCGTGAATAAAACCACTTAATTACGTGTTGCCAAATAATATGGATAAACTTAAACAAGTTGTATTTGGGACAAAAAGTATACAAGAGACAAAAAAGAAATGCCCTGTATCCTAACCTAACCTTATCTACCCTTTAAAAAAAAAAATTAGAAAACATACAAATGAAACATGAAACATTTTAGCATTTAGGTGTCTCCCATGCTAGCTCCCCCGCCCCCCGCCTCCCAAGGTCAAAAAAATGTTAGCCCTTTTTCTTAACATATAGTTTAAAATTCAATACAATACTCCTCCGGTCCTAATTATAAGACCCAATCGACTTATTTGAAGAGATTAAAGAAGTAAGTTAAGTTGGTTATTTATAATAAATAAGTGTTGTCATTCCTAAAATATCCTTGCTAATTAAGTATATTGGCTAAAACTATCATTATTAGAAGGATTATCTTGAAAAAAAATACATAAATATAAGAGATAAAATGGATTAGGGTCTTATAATTAAGACCAAATAAAAAGTCAAATGGGGTCTTATAATAAAGACCGGAAGAGTATGTTATATTATCAAGTCTAAATAAAAAATAATTAATTACATTATATGGTGCTAGTTAAAACATGCAAAGTTTGTTTACATTAGAGCAGGAAAACTGGTTTTTCAGTTACGATGTAATGATTATTAAATATCATAAATAACAATGTTCTATCATATAGTTTATTTTATGAATAATTAATAAAACTCCAAAAAATAATTTAATTCATTATCATTCAGAAATCACGGCAAAGGTAGGGGAATGATATTATTTGGAAAAAATCAAATTGTAGGATGGAAGAAGAATAATGCACTCACGACCTGATTGATATTTGAAACATATATAATTTTATAAACATCACAGATCCCACCTGGTTAGATTTGGTCCCTGCACACTAAATGCACTTCATTAAGACAAATACACTAATGATAAATGGTTTCAAAGAGCAACTCGATCAAATAAATTTATATTTGATGTAAAGTGGTACAAAATTTGACGTTTTAAAGCAAACTCAATCTCACAAACTTACGTTTGACCAACACAATGTGTATTCTGCAGAACCACCACGACCACTGGACAAAGATAATTCTTGTTCCAACCATAACAATCATTTGAAGTCAGTCATTAATGGTATGTCTAGAATGACGAAAATGAATTAAAATGAAGTTTCAATCTTAACACTAATATTTTCAAGAATCTATACTGGAAAAAAATTATTTGTACCATTTTTCATCTATTATCATCAATTGAAGTAGGTATAAGCCAGATGATTCAATCATCTGTATCAGAATCGGACTCAGAATCATCCTCCATTTGCAACTCGAAAGGTCTCAACCTGTTTGTATTGGCTTCTAATGGGGGTAGTCCATCATCATCATCACTAGAGTCCCTCTCAATCTCTGGTTGGGAGGTGTTTCCATGCAAATTTTCATTTGAATCATCTGTAGCCCCGGATTTAAAAATCGCAGGCCTAAAGGAAACGACGATTGTAAGAGTTAGTACACGATGAATTGGAGGAAAATAGTTTTGACGACAAAAGTTAAACCAGGACTTTTCAACAATGGAAACTAGGGCGGCTACAGCAGGTGCATGAAGATAAAACTGAGAATCTTTTTATTTAAAAAAAAAAAAAAGGAAATAGTGACGTATTTCTGCACTATCATTATTGCTAGATAGAAAGATCAGAAGTACCAACAAAAGCATACCATTGTGGAGACTTCTGAAGGGCCCGAACTTGTTCATGGTATAGAACTTGGGTAACAATACATGCAACTTTGCTACCCGATTCAAGAGCTTTTTCCTTTCCACTTTCATCAACGACAACATAATTGCCTGCACATTGAGAAACAACGTTCAGTTGGCAGTGAACTTTCAGGAGCTAAATTGGTGACATGGGTACCTTTCAAGGACCAATACAGTAATTTCTTCAATAACAATCAAGTGAAAGAGGCAGAACATGAGATAAAGAATAGCCATTGGTCAGAAGAGGACAAACTCATTAGAGAAATATGCAGCCTGCAATTGCTCTCAAGGTCCGTTTGAGCTTTAGAAGGGATTAAAATCAAGATGCTTAGAAAATAATATCAATGACGCAAAATAACTGTATCACCAAAAGTTCAGGGCAAAGACATAACGCAACCAGCAAAGCATGTTTCTATAGGCAAGAAGCCTTTTCCTTGAACCAGAAATTATTGAATTGCTTCATACACAGAACAAACCTCGTTTTATCCACATGCTCTTCTGGAATTTAGCTGGAAAAAGAGCTAGTAATTTCTCACCGCGTGCATCCATTACCTAATGAAACATATAGATTAATATGGAATCAGAATGTATATGGACAGAGATGATATCTTATAATTCATCTTTATTCTAACTTTATAAATAATCATCACAAGGTGCGGGATCATTCTTATTTCCTTGGTATTTCAATTTCCAGTTTTCACATAATTAAGACCGATTTGTCAATTTATACGCAGATAATGTATTCTCCCATTTGAATCTTCACATGTGATGTTCGCATTGAATAGTCACATATTCTCAAGTTTCAACCAGCGCTAGACTTCAATAGAAACAACCTCCACTGTTTTTCTCAATTACTCCAGCTAAGAACCAATGTTTTATCAATGAGAAAACATATTTTTGTCAGCCAAAAGAAGCATGCCTTCACTATTCGATCCATGAATCTAAAAAAGTACTCGTCTTATTCCTTGAAAACTTTTCACTCGCAAGAGCAAGGCAAATATACATACTGCAGAAATTATTAACTGGCAAATAAGAACCTTGAACCAGCTACTCATGGAGTATATCTTTAGGGTCCAAAAAGTATATATGAACATACAAGCCAGAAGCCAAAGTTCTTATCATTTTTGTGCAGGCAAGTCAAAAGACCTAAACTCTCAAGTTTCAACAAAGAGGTTTGAGTATAACGACAATTGGTGATAACAACTAGAAAAATAAAATGAAGACTGCAGCATCAATTTCCTCTAGTAATGACGCCCAGGAAGATTACACAAACACCTGCTCCTCTCTCTTTCCCTCACTCTCATGGTTATTGAAAGAGGAAGAAACTAGACTAATCAATAAACGATAATCAAACATGCAATGTCGCTAGAAGCAATCAAAGATATAAAAATAAGAGCAGAAAAGGAAGCCTTGGAAGACATGAAAATGATGAAGGGGCTGAAGTTGATACCTCAATGAGATTAGAACCACGAAGAGAGACGACCTTCGTGATACTTTGGCCGTCTTGAAGGGCCACGTCCAGTTCCTGTTTTGCCCGCAGCAAGTTCTTTCTTCCTCCTCCCATGGCAGTACCCCGCAATCCAAACCTAAAACCCTACTTCTCTATCGTCAAATTTTTCTTCCAGCAGTGATACAGAGATCGTTTCTTCAACTAAGTATATTGTCAAGTCAGAGGAAACGCACAGAGAGTACAGAATGTCTAGCAGAGAAAATGAGAAGGAACGAGCGGGGCACGAGACGGCGGCGAGAGGAGGCCGAGGAAAAGAGGCTGTAAGCACGAACAAGGGAGTTCTCTGGTTAATTTTTTTCTCTCCCTCATTCTGAATTGGGGGTATTTATGGAATATCAGTAATAAGTGAGAGCAAATTAGTCCTATGATATCAAAGCTGCTTAATTAATTTAAATTTTGAATAAATAAAAGATATCACATAAATTGGTTAATTATAATAAATATGATATGATTTTATTAAAATATTTTTATATAATATTAGATTATGTATCAATTTATAAGTAAATTAACATGAAAAATGATAAATATAAGAAATAAAATAAATAAAATTTATATTTAGAATTAAATTCAAATTCTAACTACTCTTATGTTAAGAATTGAATGTAGTATGCATTGGATAAGATATTCTTCCCCACTATGTTTTATAATTTATACTACCTCCGGTCCTAATTATAAAACCCAGTTGACTTATTTGAAGAGATTAAGGAAGCAAGTTAAGTTAGTTATTTGTAATAAATAAGTGTTGTCATTTCTAAAATATCCTTGCTAATTAATTATATTGGCTAGAACTATCATATTAGAAGGATTATCTTGAAAAAAAATGCATAAATATGAGAGATAAAATGGATTGGGATCTTATAATTAGGACCAAACAAAAAATCAAACGGGGTCTTATAATAAAGACCGGAGGTAGTATATATATAAGAAATTGTGCCCCACTATATTTTATAATACACACACACGCATGCATAAAGATATGCTTATATGCCCACTAATTTTGAAGACTCCTCCGCCGTGTGCAGGTTTGTTGCTTTCTTTTCTTGTTCTCTATCATCTTATGAGGCCCAAAACACTTCTTTTATGAGTTTCATAAAGGGTTGCAGGTCTATAAGTTTTCATTCTTAGGTGTTTTTGTATGTTACCTTAAGCCCAGGTAGCCTAGCCTTTTAATATATTTGGGCGTTTTTATGCTATCGTTGTCTCAAATTAAAATAATTGTTTGGACTTTCGGGTATGACCCTAGACTCACGCAGTCTATTAAGGTGAGACTTAAGAATGTTTAAATGTCAAGTAATAACTCATGGGCCGGGCTCACAATAACCAGCCCATTTTGACGCCCCAAGTTATAGCAACAGGATAATAATTACTCCCTAGCGTCACTTTGTCCCACGGTTTTTTTTGTTGAAGTTTTTTTTAATGGGGCACATTGATATATACTCTTCCGATTCTTAATATAGGACATAATTGTTGAGTTGATTTTTGTCCTAAATATAAGAACCATTTCTCATATTTATCAATTTTCTTTAAATTACCCTTATTAATACTCCTTCAACCATAATTAAGTAAAAAAAGAAGATGGAGTATTAAAAAAAATGATTATAGTATTTTAGAAAAAACGTGTTACATTTCTTATAATTAACTAACTTATCTAACTTTCTTGATCTAATCAAATTAGTTAAATGAGTCTTATATTAAGGACTGGAGGAGTAATAGACATCTAAAGAAGAGTAATATGAATATAATAATATTTTTGTGGATGTTTATATATCTTTCATTATCTCTGATATCTCAGCAACCTTAAATGAAATAAGAAGTACTCATATGTTTTATTTTTCCTTATTCTCTTCTTTTATTTTCCACTCTTTTTTTAGTTTTATAACACAAATGAAATTTTAATTCATTGTTTTCATTTTTAATCATCTCATTCTTTTTTCTTGCAGGTACTCGCTTTTTCTCCCCACTCATTCTCTTTTCTTTTTGGGAGGGGCGGGGCCAAGCTACTCATTCTCTGTTTTTGTTTTTTAATCAAAAGACAAGGCCCGTCAAATTTTAAAAATTTAATTTGAGCTAAGCCCAAATTAACCAAACAATTAGGCCGGCCCATAACAATAGGATAAGAAACAAGACTAAGCAAACCACTACCATAAGAAGCTAAAAATCACCAAATAAAAGAAAGAGGACCCGCATGAAGCGAAGCTCACTGAAAGAATGGCCCTTCCATTGTTGAACAGCAAGAGACCAATATTAACATCAGAAACATCCCAGCCATTTTCCTCCATTATCTGATCTCAAGGTCCGCGAAGCTTTTCATGAACAGACCTTGAATAGCGAAGCTTGGAGTAAAAAGTTTATTTCCTTTTCCCCCTTCGCTAAAAGAGCTTCCAATTAAAAAAACTGAGGGGTATTTAAATAGAATCCAAATTATAATTTTAAAAAAAAACCTTTTCTATACTGCCAAACACCCCTTAAATCTAGGTTTTTTATTGGAGGGAGCCATCTCATCGTTTAGTTTATGCCTCTTTAACACATGGCTTGGGAGGTGTTTGAATACCCCTAGAAGTGCTTTTTTAAAAGAAAATTTTCACAAATAAAAACAAACTCCTTTACATATTTACTTCATATAACATAAAATCATTTTTAAAATTATAGTTTGGTTTCCATCCAAATATCTCTTTGATCTAAAACAACATCATAAGTAGAAGTAGAAAACTCATTGGGATTTTTAGATTGCAAACTATCATGTATATCAAAGGCTTGCTTATGAGCATAGTTCACTTATCCTTGTCATACTACTCCAATACTTAATATAACAGTTTGTTTGATTATTTTAATTTTAAATATAAAATTCCAATCTATTTTGTCTCTTATACTTTCTATTTTTTTCAAAATATTTGGTAGTTTCAACCAATATACTCCTCCGGTCCTTAATGTAGAACCCAATTATTGAGTTAGTTTTGGTTCTAAATATAAGACCTATTTTTTATATTTATCATTTTTTTCTAAATTACCTCTATAGATACTCCCTCAACCATAATCAAGTAGAAGAGGGAGATATGGTGTAAAAAAAGATAATTATAGTGTTTTAGAAAAAACGTGTCACATTTCTTATAATTAACTAACTTACCTAACTTCTTTAATCTAACCAAATTAATTAAATGAGTTTTATATTAAGGACCGGAGGAGTACCTCAGTAGTAAGAATATTTTAAAAAATAATACTTATTATTATAAGTAACTAATTTAACTAATTTTTTAATATATTCAAATTAATTAATTAGATTGTATATTAAAAAGCGGAGGTAGAATGTTGGAAAAAAAGAATTGCATTTCTTATACATTTATATTGTGTTATGGGATAGGGACCATCCACGTCACGCGGGAAACAACTACCCAACAAAATTAAATGAACTTAAATGCGGCCCCAATACTTTTTAAGAAAAGACATACCCTGTGATCCAGTCGCCTTTAATTAAATTCCCACCGCGATAACATATTTTTTTTGGTCCGGGGTCTTGAAAAGCAAAAGAGAGAATTAGGATGAATTTTTTAAAAATAAATATAATTATTTTAAAACAAAAATAATAACTGCTCACTTATTAATAAAAATTGCCGATAATTATTTTTTCCTTATAATTTCATTACAATTGTCCTAACATAAAATGGAAGATTAATAAGAGCGCACCCCAAATCCGCGTCAGTTTGCTGGCACATATATGTCCACGTCAGTTAGTTTATTCGTCTTAAATAAGATGGCTATCTTGTGAGTAAGAGAGGGTCCGAATCACTTGAGTCCTTTCAAGATGTTCCATCATTTATTTTTCTTCATATTTATTGTCCTGTTCATTCATTTATTATTATGCTTCCTTGTCCAATCCTATTTATTCCTCTGATCATATTTATAAATTATTTTTAACATGTTTTATACATATTAAAAAAAATTTTAAATTTTATTAGTTCTTATTTAAAATTTAACAACTTTTTAGTTTTATTCCTATTTAATATATATTATACATCATGTTACAAAATCAATACAATAATAAATGAAGGGTAAAATTATATATTTATACAAAAAATTTCTCTCTGCACCCTATATATAGGACTAAAAAATATCTTCTCTCTCAACCTTATAAATAGAATCAGAGGAGTACATTGTATTTTTAATTACATTTGTTATACACTATAAAAAATGGTAGCTAATCATTAATCTGTTTCAAATTAAAAATTCTTTTCAAATTTACTCATATTAAATAAAATTGTGAAGAAATTAAAAAATATAAAAAGTCACATGTAAGCATTAATTGCGGAGACAAGATTGCCAAATACTTCCTCTACTTTTTATTATAAACTTCAAATAATTAATTCACAAAAATAAATAATTAGTTAAAATTAGTTAAAAATAATAAATATATTAGAAATAAAATTTTGTTTTCAAACATACATTTATAATAAATGAGTAAAATGATAAAAAAAATATGTAGAGAAATGTGATAAAAGAAAAATAATCAAGGGTGACATTAGAAAAAATACTTTAAATGTTAAGATAAATCCAAATTAAAGTTTATAATATGAAAAATGCTTTTTCTTAAAGTTGAAATTTGTAAATAGAACCGAAGGGAATAAGCATTAATTACTCTTCAAGAGGCATATATTTTAGATTAAGTGATTCTTTTATAAATAACTTATATTGTGAACTGGATAGAGGACCTTTCATCATAGTTAAGAAAAATTTCAATCTTCGTTAATTTTCTTCTAAAATTCAATAACCTTTTCGTTCTACCCATATTTAATATACATACATGTACATGGGATTCTAAGTAAATAACAATTTACAGAATAATAAATTAATAATGAAATTGTATACTTATATAATAAATTTAATAAAAATAAAAATATGCTATCTCAGGGCCAGCCGACAAGAGGAGTGTGGTCTGAGAGCCAGCGAACTACTAGCACCTTCATTCTTAATTTTACCTGTATGTTCATTTATCTATCTTCCTATAAGTGCGAGAACTCTAAATATTAACAAAATATTTTTAAGCATTGACAATTTGACATACTAATCTTAATTTTTAAAATAACAATATTTATTATAAAAAATCGTCATTTGATACTAATGTAATTTAGAAGACTTTAAAATTAAAAAAAAATGAAGACCTTATATAAAATTAAAGCTCATGTATTGAAGATCATGGGTGATTAATCATCCGCCCATAAATTTTTGAAAAACAAATTTATGATAATAATTGATAACATTAGGATTTGGATATATGGGAGAT